ATGAGGACAGGGGTGGGGAGTGAGGGCGGAGGGTGGGGCGGGAACTGGGAGGAGGGGAGTTGTGGGGGGGAAAAGAGGAACAAATGTAATAATCTGAACAATAAAGATTTAATTTAAAAAAAAATTCTGGTCTTTAATTTGCTGTTGCTGCTGCTGTTCCTCCTCCTCCTCTGTCTCTCTTTCTTGCTCATGTTTGAGGACTTCCTACAAAGAGGACTTTAACCAGTTTGTGTTTACACAGATGATGAATAGCTATGTGATATCTGGGTGTTAGACCTCATGTCTTCACATTGGGCGACTGGGCAGCATGTTGGCTTTGGGAGCTTATCGGGTGTTTGTATGAAGAATAAGGGCCTCCTAGCATATAAAATGGATCAGGTACTACTAGATGGCATGATTTTGTGGACATTTTAAACAATAGTGAAAATTTCCACTCTACGCCTGCTATGCACCAAGCCTACAATTAGCAGACTTGCGTTTTGAATACTCAGATCCTCCTTAGGGTGAATAAAGTATCTGGGATCATTGTACTGATAGAGGAATGGAGACAAAGAATTTAAGTGTAGTCCCATCCGGTTTTGTTCAGTGGATAGAGCATCATCCTGCAGACTGAAGAGTCCCAGGTTTGATGCTGGTCAAGTCCACTGTACCTCAGTTGCAGGCTCAATCCTCAACCCTGGTCAGGGCATGTGTGGGAGGCAATCAATTGATGTGTCTCTCTCACATCTGTTTTTCTCTATCTCTCCTTCTCCCTTCTACTCTCTCTAAAAATCAATACAAAGATATCATCAGGTGAGGTATAACAACAATCATAATGTAAGTGCAATGATACTTTCAATGGAGCAGGGCTAATAAATGGGAGAGTCAACATTTATTCTCAGGTCACTAAGCCTCATATCTGCTTTCCTCACTGTCCCCATTAATAAATAGCCAATTCAATAGCTTCAGGATCTCCCAGTCCAACCAGTATAAACAGAAATGTGCCAGTCTATGGATGAGTAGGGTAACAGGCTCTCAAGTACTCTATGAACTATATAAACTCAAATGAACCCATTGCCGATATCATGCCTCTCTGCTATGCTATCCCAAAGAGGACAGATCTTTTCTCCCACTATGTAGTTCCTTTTCCTAGACTTTGGGATTCCCATACATTACTCTAAAGCAGTGGTTCTCAACCTTCCTAATGCCACGACCCTTTAATACAGTTCCTCATGTTGTGGTGACCCCCAATTTCATTTTTACAAATTGAACATAATTAAACCATAGTGATTAATCACAAAAACAATATGTAATTATATATGTGTTTTCCGATGGTCTTAGGTGACCCCTGTGAAAGGGTCGTTTGACCTCCAAAGGTGTTGCGACCCACAGGTTGAGAACCGCTGCTCTATAGCAAGTGAACAATTACTTGCCTTCAAACCAGACTTGAATCATTTTCAAGAGGAAAAACTGAATTTCAGAAAAACAGAAAGTTGCCTCCAGGTTGCTAGAAGACAAAATGATGTCCAAAGTCATGGAGGTTGATTTCTCTTTTCCAGGGCCTATAGAGTGAGACTAAATACAAAAAGCCCTCCCCATTTATTAACGTGTGTCCTACTTAGTGGAAGCTGGTGCTGATTTTTTGTTGGTGTAGAGCAATTCCACCAAGATGGTGGGGAGTGGGTCTCATGAGTCAACTTCCTAGACCAAGCTCTTGGTTCCCAGGTCAGGCTCAAGTAAGACCTTTGGATACCAGATGTGTGTTTGTGTGTGTATGTTTTATTAACATATATTAACATATATATTTACTATCTATATATATAGTTATTCAAAAGTTGTTTAATTTTTGTTTTTAATTACAGAGACTATTGAATATTATGAGTTTCAGGTGTACAGAATAGTGATTAGATATTTATATAACCTACTAAGTGATCCCCTCCATAGGGATAGTCCTCCCCTGGCATCAGACATGGTTATTAAAATATTATTTCAGCGGAGGACTGAGGCCTCATATATTCTCAGTGCTGTACTGTGCATCCCTGTGGATATATTTTATGAAAGCCTTTTATCTATTTTCTTTGCAGAAAAGCCGAAGTCTGCTCGCTGGTACTGCACAAACTTTAGTCTGGAACAAACTTTAGCTGAGAATACTGAAAGACACATTTGAAAAGACCGCGTACCCAAATGGGAATACCCTGGCAGAGCTTGCTTCAGCCACTCAACTTGATGAGCTAGTATTACAGGTGGGTCCCTAAGTGTGTCTAGATAGCACGCCTAGTCCAAAGCTTCACACACACTTTTAACCATCATAGAATCCCTATTTATAATTGAATAATTGCTATGTGTCAGGACAGGTGTTAAGCACTTTATGTTTTTATTCTCATGACCACCCATTTTATTGAAAAACACTAAAGCTCACAGGGAGGAATGTCTTCCAAGGATCATAAACACAAGAGGAAGAATTTGAATCCAGGTCTTTCTGACTGCAGACCCACAGTAGTACAGCAGACCTTTTGAGAATGTGTCTCAGATACTCACTTTGGGGTCTGTTCCTGTTTATTTGTAGGGTCTTCTCAATCAGGACATTTGCAATTACATATATATGCCTCTGAGACAGCAGGAGCACTGCTCAGCTCTGCTGCTCTGCGTTGTTCTGAGTCCATACATTCTTCTAAAATTCTTCCCGATTCGCCAAGGCTGGCTCTTCCTCGAATCCTGCCCACCGTAGTAACTGCTGGCACCGTAGTCCAAGTTCCTCCTTTATCCTCTGATCACTCGTTAGAGGTGTCGGGTCTGAGGCCCCCTGCCTAGGGACTGGACCTCCTATTACAGAAGGTCTTAGACAGAGAAGCCATGGGAAGTTGTGGGGGTGTAAGAACGAGTCTTTATTGTAGAAGCCAGTGGCCACATAGCCGTCAGACAAAACAGTTCTTTACAGCAAAGTCCATACAGGCAGCCGGCCAGACACTGGCTGGTGAACATGTACATCTTTCCCACAAAGCAGCATTAGTCTCTGTACCCACAGCTATTATCTGGGCAGCCCCAAGCTGCCTCCTAAACTCACTGCTTCACATCGTAGCAGTACCTAAGCTCTCTGCTTCAGCAGCTTCTCTGGCCTCTCTGACTCAGCAGTTTTTCCTGTCTCCCCTGCCCAGCACACTGGCTGGTCTCTGTAGCCTCACATAATAACTACCTCTGAGCTTCTCTACCAGCACACAGGCTAGTTAACATGGTAGCTATATCTGAGCTCTCTATGAGCTCTTACCTTACATCGTAGCAGTCAGCTCTCAGCTCCGTCTGAGTTCTCCACTCTCTGCACACATAGGACCTACATCTTCTGTGCCTACCACCTCTGCTTGTCTGAGCTCTCTCTCCTCTTTCTGGTCAGTAACCTGTATATTACTCCAGAGACAAAGAAGGCTAGCTGCCAACAGTGACATCAATCATTTGGGTTACAGAAGGGCATGGTGTACCGTGAGATCTCTGTGGCCTTGCAGCTGTGTATGGTACCTTGGCCTTGGGCACCCCGATTAGGCTCATGCTTAGAGCGGCCTTGGCCATTCTGGTGTATTGACAAGGCCTCTGTGCTCTCATTGGCTTTGACTATCCAGGAACCCTGATGTGGTTCCCACAATGCCTTGCCACAGAAGATTCAGGGTGTAAAAATCCCTAGATGACCCCAAAGGTACCCCAAGCTAGATTCCCACTCCATATTCTCATAGTTAACAATCCTCTCTCAGAAAACCCAGAGCATCCAGCAAGACAGAACCCCTTTCTGCAACACCTCCTGATCTAGAGTGCTGTGTTCTCCTATTCTATGTGTGTCTAGCACAATCTCATATTCCCTTTGCCCTCTGAACCCTGAGGCACCAGGAGATAGAGGACATCCCTTATTCAGCTAAATATGAAGAAATGTGAGACTAGCTTTTGCACACCAACTCCTAACTCCTGAGGAGCATGTAGGGTTCCCCTTTGAACCCATCCCCCTTTATTAACCAGCTTACCTGCTCTTTTCCCAGACTTGTTTCAAGAACCAGCATGTCAAAAGGAGGAAACAGCTGCTATAGTGTCAGTCTAGTGTGGCACTAGAAGCACAAAACCAAACCATTTCAGTGAAGGAGGAGGAGACTCCTTTATCTGTACCTTCTACAAACACTCATCCCCTGAGTCCCAGCATTGTGAATGCTTATGACCATGAACCCCCTAAGACTTCTAATATCGAGCAATCTGTGGGGACTGGTGCCTCTGTGGGGAATGTATCATGGGATTCTCAGCCTCGACCTTCAACAGCTATGTCTGAGTGTCTCTGATCCTTCTTGGGCCTCCAATCCCTCTGACATAGATCAGTTTATACAACTACTAGTGTCCTGGTACACAAAATTCATGCACGGGGTGGGGGAGGGGGGGTTAGGGGGGAAAAGAGAGGGAGGGATGTTCCTCAGCCTGGCCTGCACCCTCTCTAATCTGGGATCCCTCAGGGAATGTCCGACTACTGGTTTACCTGATCCCTGTGGGATCGGGCCTAAACTGGCTGTCGGATATCCCTCTCACAATTCGAGACCACTGGCTCCTAACTGCTCACCTGTCTGCCTGCTTGATCACCCCTAACCACTCTGCCTGCTGGTCTTCTCGCCCCCAACTTCCCCCGCTGCCAGCCTCCTCACCCCCAACTGCCCCCCAACCAACCTGCTCGCCCCCAACTGCCTCCCCTGCTGGCCTGATCCCCCCCAACTGCCATCCCCTCCTGGCCTGATCACCCCTAACCACCTCTGCCTGGGCCCCGCCACCATGGCTTTGTCCAGAAGGTCTCCCAGTCTAATTAGCATATTACCCTTTTATTAGTATAGACTAGAGGCCCAGTGCACAAAAATTTGTGCACTCGGGGGTGGGGGGTCCCTCAGCCCAGCCTGTGCCCTCTCGCAAGTCTGGGACCCCTCGGGGGATGACCACCTGCTGGCTTAGGCCTGCTCCCCGGGGGATTGGGCCTAAGCTGGCAATCAGACATCCCTCTGGCAGCCCAGCAGCCCTCGGGGGATGTCCACTTGCCAGCGGGGAGCAGACCTAAGCTGCAGTCAGATATCCTTAGCGCTGCTGAGGAGGCAGGAGAGGCTCCCCCCACCACCGCTGTACTGGCAGCCATCAGCCTGGCTTGTGGTTGAGCAGAGCTCCCCATGTGGGAGCGCACTGACCACCAGAGGGCAGCTCCTGCATTGAGCGTCTGCCCCTTGGTGGTCAGTGTGTGTCATAGTAACCAGTCATTTCCAGTCTTTCTGCTGTTAGGATCAATTTGCATATTACCCTTTTACTATATAGGATAGAGGCCTGGTGCATGGGTCGGGGCTGGCTGGTTTGCCCTGAAGGGTGTCCCAGATCAGGGTGGGGGTCCTGCTTGGGTACCTGGCCAGCCTGGGTGAGGGACTGATGGCTGTTTGCAGCTGGTCACACCCCCTTCAGGATGGGGGGCCCCACTGGGGTGCCTGGCCAGTCTGGGTGAGGGGCTGAAGGCTGTTTTCACGTTGGCCTGTGACTGAAGCTGCCAGCCTCTCCTTTTTTTCTTTTTTTTTAATTCTGGGATTTATTTACCTTCTCTAATTGAAACTTGGTTGCTGTCACTGGAGCTGAGAGCTGGCTCCTGCTTGCTCCAGCTCTGAGGTCATGGACTGCTAAAAGCAGGTATCTGGGGTTTGTTTAGCTTCTATAATTGAAACTTTGTTGCTTTCAGAGCTCAGAGCCGGGCCATGGCAGGCAGGGAACCTTGGCTTCCTCCATCACTGTAGCAAGCAAGCCTCCTGCTTGCTTCAGCTGCATGGCTGCCGGCCACCATCTTAGTTGGCAGTTAATTTGCATATTGCCCTGATTAGCCAATGGGAAGCATAGCAAAGATACGGTCAAAAAAAAAAAAAAGATACGGTCAATTACCCTTTTTGTCTTTTATTAGATAGGATATTCCTTACCTGGGGAGGATCATCCCAGCAGTCTAGATGAGTACCTCTTCCCCAAGTGCCCTAATTGAGGGGATATGGCTGGGATTGATCTTCATTGCACTGGGTAATACCTCCACAGCTCTTGAAAAAGGTTTGTGATCCAAATCTTGTCAAACTCAGAGACATTTCCAAATACATTAATGGGTCAACTCCAGTCTAAACAAACCAGTTATTTATCTTTTTCTATAAGAAGAAATATCTCTACATTTTTTTAAAAATCCTCACCTGAGGATATTTTTCCATTGTTTTTTAGAGAGACTGGAAGAGAGAGGGAAAGAAAGAGAAATATTGATGTGAAAGAAACACATTGATTGCTTGCCTCCTGCACAAGACCCGACCAGGCAGCCTGCAACCAAAGTACTTGCTCTTGTTTGCAATCAAAGCAGGGACCCTTTGGTCTGCAGGCTGACGCATTATCCACTGAGCCAAACCAGCTAGGGTGAGAACTTGAATCTTTTAAAAATTATTCTCCATTGAGCATTATGTTAAGCAAAATAAGCCAGTCAGAGAAAGATAAGTATCACATGATCTCACTCCTATGTGGAATCCAATGAACAACATAAACTGATGAACAAAAATAGCCCCACAGGCAGAACTATGGAACAAACTGTCAAACCTCAGAGGGAAGGCAGGGGAGGAGGGAGAAGAGATCAACCAATGAACTCATACGCGTATATGCATAATGGACACAGACAATAGGGTGGTGAGGCCTGGGCTTGGGGGTGAGGGCAGAGTGGGAGAGGTCAATGGGAAAAAGAGGGCACATATTTAATACTTTCAACAATAAAGTTTTTTTTAAATGATTCTCCTTTAATAAGGTGTGTATCCACAAGGTCAGTCTTCTATTAAATTATAGTTCTCTTGATAATTGTTTTTGCAGACATCTATAATAATAAATGCTAATTAGACCAGACTTATTCTGGACATCCTTCCTGGCAAAGCTGGGGCCCGAGGGGAGCCGGCCGGGGTTCTGGATGCCTGCGGGCGGCCAGAGGAGGGAAGAGCCCGGGTTCTGGGTGCCTGCGGGCAGCCAGAGGAGGGAAGCCTGGGTCCCGGGTGCCAGAGGGAAGCCAGTGCTGGCAGCCCAGGAAAGGGAGGCCTACTTTTGCATGAATTTTCATGCATCAGGCCTCCAGTTGACTATAAAATCATAAATAAAAACAATGAATGAATGGATGGAACTGGAGAGCATTATGCTAAGTGAAATAAGCCAGTCAATGAAGGAAAAATACCACATGATCTCACTCATTCATGGATAATAAAGACCATTATAAACTTATGAACAAAAATAGATACAGAGGCAGAGCTGCCTCAAACAGACTGTCAAACTGCAGCGGGAAAGCCGGGGAGGATAGGGGGGCAAAAGGGGAGGTGGTAAGAGATCAACTGAAGGACTTATATGCATGCATATAAGCATAACCAATGTACATAAGACACTGGGGGGTAGGGGAGGCTAGGGGATTGTCAAGGGTGGGGGAAAAAAGGAGACATAAGTAATACCCTTTGTAATACTTTAAGCAATAAAAAAAAAAAGAAATGGTGGACCTTGGGGAAAAAATGAATGATAAACAAATTCAGAATGTGGTTTTCTTGGGAAGGTGAGGACATGGGAGCAATGGGGGAACACCTATTTTTGGTATTTGAAAGGAGAAGATTGTGCCTAATTAGAACTCAGGAGTTTACAGGTAGTGAGGGGGAAATTTCATCCCAGTGTGAAATGAAACCCAGAAGAAAGGCCTGACCAGTGCCATTAGCAATGTGTTGCCACTTCAAGGCTTCTGGACGTTAGGTTGGAGGAAGGCTAAGGAAAGAAGCATTCCAGTTAAGAGGTTGGAGTTGAAGAAGACGCCGTGGCAATGGACATGGTGAGAGATCATGTGATTGATGCCCAAGGTAGTCCTTGTGGAGAAAGAGGCTATTTCCAGAAGACGTTCTTAAATCTGTCGTGGTCTATTTTTATGAATAATCTCTTCTAAGTAATGTGTCTCCTAAGTGGTTCTCCAGACTTGCTAAGAGGCTGATTATCAGAGCCCCTAGAATAGTCATTCTGACATCTAGGCAGGAACTCAAAGAAGCTAAGAAAGGAGGGTGGCCGCTATTACTGCAGAGAAACAATTCCAGAGAAAAAGGTAGATATGAGCCTGGCTGGTTTTCAGATATGAAACGAAGCAGTGGCTGCTATACACCTCCTATGGCTGCCTATTAACATAGAGGTGTGGATTGCATTTTTTTCTGTGTCTGTTTCAGCACGTATGTCTGGCATGTATGAGGCGGGCATTTTGTCCCTTTAGTGCTCGTATTGAGAGGAACTGCACCTGAGAAGTTATAATCGGTTCACTTCATGAGCACCAGGCCCTGATTTTGATGGTGAGGCGCTGGACTTCTGTCCCAAGCTTAGTGCTGTAATTGTATTACATTTGGAAATCCCATAGAAAGTAATCAGTGTTTTGGGTTTGTGGGAAGTGTGAACGTCTCTGGGGCCTGAGGGTGGAACGCTAGCTAGTCTCTTAGGATGATTTCTATGAACCACAAGTCAACACACCCGTGCCCTAGTGTAGTCTCCTCCACATGATATGGCTGTCTCTCTGACTCACCTTTGAACTCTAGGATGTGAAGGGTGTGGCATTGCATGACTTCTAGAGCAAGGTCCTATTATACCTTACACCTTCTGCTTGGGCCTTTTCAAGGGATCACTATGGAAGCCATGAAACCTGAATGAGTTGATGAGGTCTAAGACAGCTATGAAGGTTGTATAAAGAGAAACAACCAGCCAGCCCCCAGCTCTTTCATCCAGCTCAAGTGAAGAGTCAGACCTGAGGAAAGCACCCATCAGGGAACTCCACTTCCCACTACCATCTGATTAGAACCACAAAATACACCACCCATATGAGTGCAGGACACCTGCAAAACTGGGAGACATAATCATAAATTATTGTTTTAAAACAATATATTTTGGAGAGGTTTGTTATTCTGCAATGATTCTGTGGGGCATCACAGCCAGAGTCAGGTCACTGCATCCCGTGTATAAATTGTTCTTGTTTTAACAATAACTGTATCCTCCCTGGCCTAAAATCATAACAGTTCATTACCAAACATGTCCCAGGTTTCTGCCCACATAACTTGAAAAATCTTGCAATTGTTTGAGTAATAGAAAAAAGAGATTCTCTGAGGTAGATCTTGGTTTTCCAACTATTTCTTGGATGAAAACTTTTTAAGTGCTGGCCTTGTCATTTTCTTTATTTTTCCCAGTGCATCTCACACAAAGCCAGGCACAGTGACCATAGATATATTAAACATCCTTGGAATAAAGGAAGATTTAAGAAATCTCACCTGATTGTCCTCCGAATACAAAGTTCCTTCCCCAGCTACCAATTATAGCTTTCTGGCTTGAGACAGGTACCTAATATCTTGGTTTAGCTGTCTGAAATTGGGGAAGGATTTTGCTTTAGAGTGCCTGGCGTATCGTAAGAACCACATAAGGATACTGTCACCAATGCCTTCTCAGACATCTCATGACCCTGCCCCTCACTCCATGTGTCCGAGAAATATTTGTCCTCTGATTCCTTGACCCCTCCCACAGTACTCTCATGCCCCTTTTCGTGCTGAGCACTTAATCTTTTTTCTCTTTTTTCCTCAGAAGAAAGAAGCAAATCTCGTTAAGTTCTCAGGAGTTTTAATGACCAAGTGTGGGGGAAGGGAGAGAACCCCTGTTGTTAGCCAGCTCTGGGAATCACAGGGTCTCTTAGGGGGAGGGATCTCCTTGACAACGGGGGTTCTGGTCACATCCTTCTCTACTGGACACTCACTGAGCTCAGGGAGACATCTCTCCACACCTGGATCATCTTCACACTATTTGGCGGGAGTCGATGGGAAAATGTGTAACATTGACGGCCATTTATCTTTATCTGGAAGGGAAAACGTATCATAAACACAGTATGCCACCAACAGGCTACCGTCTTTCTCTCCACTTCTTCCCTATAGACACACCATCCCCCAGAAACTCTCAGTCACATTCCAAAAGTCAGTAGACATGCTCCTTTCATAGCCTACATTTTGCGACCATTTCAGACAGCTGTTCATTCTATTTTCTGAGATTCTCTTATTCCTCCACTGAAGTGCTGCCACTTTCTGCTGCATTGTCTACGTCTCCCAGGCCTTCTCTCTAGCTTAGGAGATTCTCATGGCCAGGAACTGTGTCTCATGAATCCTAAGTGTCTGTATCCTTCCTTACTTCCTTTCTTTCTTTCTTTCTTTTTTTCTTTCTTTTTTTTATCCTCACCCTAGGATATTTATTTCCATTGCTTTTTAGACAGAGTGGAAGGGGGAGGGAGAGAAAGTGAAACATTGATGTGAGAGAGACAAATCAGGGCCAGGGATCGTACTTGCAACCCAGGTATGTACCCTTGACTGGAATTGAACCCTCGGCCTTTTGGAGTGAGGGCCAATGCTCTATCCATTTAGAAACACTGGCCAAAGTGTTACTTGTTTTATTAAACATATGAGAGCCAGGACAACATCTTCAGTGTCAAGATATTCTTCTCTAAAACTCAGTGTCATCACAGAACTGACAGAATAGACATGTGATTTTAAATGGTCATCATCTTTCCAGTCTCCCAGCATTCACATGAGTTCTGGTTCCAATCCCACCATCTGAGGCCACCTTTAAAAAAATTATTTTCCAGTTACAGTTGCCAGGATATGAGAGAAACCCATCCATTGGTTGTCTCCTACACATGCGCTGACCAGGGCCTGTCCAAGGAACAGCCTGCAACCTAGATATGTGCCCGTGACCGGAATAGAATCCAGGACCCTTCGGTCTGCAGGCCGATGCTCTATCCACTTAGCCAAACCAGCTAGGGCATCTAACATCATTTTTTTACAGCAAATAAACTCTAGTCCTCAATGTGTGATTACTAGAAATACTTATAACATCATTTATTTAAAAAGAAACAAAAGCAGATACAGATACATGATGATAGATGATAGGTAGATGATAGATAGATAGATAGATAGATAGATAGATAGATAGATGATAGACTTGTACAAGCATATAATATCTCTGTAAAGAGCACAAAAGGACTAGTAACTGTTGCTCTGGAGAGAGAGACTGGATTTAGGAATGTAGAAAACACTGAATTTTAAACTAAATATAATTATTTATATGCATATTTTAACAATCTCCTACATGAAAACTGAAAGAATGACAGCATAGGTAGAAAACATGGCTGCAAGTGAAGATAGAGGAATTGAACCCAGGACCCTTTAGTCTGAGGGCTGACGCTCTCAGGCATGTGTGCTGATCTTGACCTGAGCATGGCAGTACCAGCAGAGAGTGCTCTGTGATGAGAGGGGCAGGAGATGAACCACAAGGGACTCTGAGGGCCAGGCCAGGGAGAGCTGTGTCCTCCTCAGAGAGCCCTTAGAGCCCATGTAGTGGATGCTCCTGGGTACACTCACCTGGTACTCATTTTGCAGCACTGAGATGCACAGCTCAAATGGTTGGCGATCCACAAAAGGCATACCATCGTATCTCTCCTCTGACTTCCAGTCCCCAAACTGACGGCTGTTCATCACCACGCAGTTGCCAAAGTACACTCGGAAATAGAAGGCGATGTCGGAGTCCTCTTCAGTTCCGGTGTGGAAGTCCACCTGCAGTTCTGGGCTCATGCTGAAGGCAAAGCACGCAGCATGTGGAGCAGGACCGCTCCTCATGGGGTCCCACATTCAACACACACATCCACACCCTCCCCAGCTCCTCCTGGGGGAAGGAAGGCCTTCCTGGGGGAGACCGCAGTACGTGTCCCTGTGGGGCTGCTTCCGCTTGTCCTGCCCAGGCTGGGGAGATGCCTCATCTCTTAGCCCAGGACTCACACTGAGCAGCAGTCACTGGCCTGGGGCTACTTTTCATGCCCTGGAAATACTGTGTCCCTTGATAATAAACCTCAGCTCCAATGCCTGAGTGACCCCAGCCCCCACACTTCAACACTTACCCACAGACATTGCACCTGTAGGTTTAATCCTGGCACCGGATGGGTCTCCAGGAACTGCAACTGCATTGTGCTACCATTATACTAATTACACATTTCAGTATCATTCTTGCATGAAGTGACCTCCAAAGCTACAATAACCTCACTTCTTCATTTTCCCACCGTAGGCTACAGAGTACTCACACGAAAGACATGGCCGGTGTCCCTTTGATTGTCACTGAAGAACCAATGTTCAAGGATGAAATTTTTGTGTATGGGACCTGCCATGGGAGAGGAGAGCAGATGAGAGGGACAAAGCCAGGTGTGGTCTCCCCTCCTACAACACCTAGTGGCAAAGCAGGGTAAACATCAAAGGACAAACTCTGAGGGCCCCCTTCCTCCCACCTCATCACAGTCAGGACGCCGTGTCCATGAAGAAATGAGAGAATTGTCATTGAAAGCAAGCTTTCAAGAACCAGGCTTCCTGGGTTCTAATTTTGTCTCTTACTAACAGTGAGACCGTAGATCAATTACTTGAATTCTCCTTGCCTTTGTCTCCTCAGTAGAAGGAGGATTATCAGAAATTACTACTTCAGAGGGAGCTCTCAGTAACAGAGGAGCTCATAGATGTAAAACCTTTAACCAGATCACTGGTATGTATAGGGTCTAAACGGGTGACCTAGCCAAAGGGGAAGGGCCCTTTCTGAAGTAACACCCTCTGAACATTTCCTATCTGAAACTGTAAAGACAAGACAAAACTATAAAAATATATATATTCACTCCAATGAAAAACATCTGTTAAAAGAGAGAGCAATGATCGTGGAAAAGGAGATGCCTGTATGTGGGCTATATATGCACCAGAATTTTCAAGGACATGCATTTTCTTTCAGGAGCATGCACAAGTCATTGAGGACGCAGCCAGTACCTGCACACAGGATGGCGGGCAGTAATTGATGAAAGTAATTCAAGAAAATCTAGAGAACCGAAGATGGCGGCATAGGTTAACGCCGGAGATTGCTGCCTTGAACAACCAATTCAAATTAAGCTTGAACCAGGGACCAGACAACATCCAGAACCACAGGAGGGCTGGCTGAATGGAAATTCTACAACTAGGAGTAAAGAGAATATTATATCCAGACTCAGAGGAGCCGCAGTGCTGAAGTGAAATTCTCAGGTACCGAGTGCGCGCGGAGCGGGGCTGGCGGCGCGGAGGGCGCGAGTGTTTACAATTGGGAGGGAGTCGCGGACTTTGAGCTCCAGATCCGGGCGAGTCGCTGGGGACGCAGATTCAAACGGGAGAGGCAGGACTGTCTGGCCCCAGTTG